AAATTTTGATATGAAATGTAAAAACCTAAAGGCATTCCCTGGCAATGATAAACCCCAATAAGTATTAACTATTATTAAATGAACGTTAGTTATATTTGGTTTTGTTATTATTATTATCATCATAAAGGTAGAGTTAACCTTCCTGAGGTCCCATAAAATTCTAGGCACTATGCTAGGGAAACTGATTTTTTTTTTCATCGTCTTTGGTGCTTTTCAGTATTTGGGGGAATGGTCCGCCCAGGTGGTTTCATAAGTATATGATGACTTGTTTCCCTTTAGAGAAAGTAGCGAGAGGCCTGCCTGTCTTTCTCCCTGTCCCGATAATCCTGCCAGGGATGCACATAGGAGTGGCCTTGCTTCCAGAATCCATTTTGCCTTGACCTCCCCACCCCCAGACTCCTAGGAAGTGGTTGTTTGCTCAGAGGCACAGAGAGGCCACTGCTGAGTGTAAGCAGGCACTGCACTATAGCTCTGGAGCTCTTTGGGGTGTGAGGCATTTCTCCAAAGAGCCAATATATATCCTTGTGGAATTGCTGGGAAAGAGATTTTTTCTAAGAAACTTTTTGCCTTTATTAATGAATTAGTACTGGATACCATTTAAAATTAGCTTTTTCTGTTTTCATCCAAAGCGACACATTCATCCAGCGATAACCATGTTAACATTTTGAGCATGTATAGCCATCCAGTCTATTATTTATATATTTAAAAAATATAATATTTAATATACACATTTATATAATAATTATAATTATTGTAGTATAATTTACTAATATTAAATATTAATTATTAAATATTAAAGATGTTATATTTAAATATGTTAAATATTTATATATATTTGTACATATATAAAATCTCAGTGGATCCTTTCGTATAAGTTTTAGGGAAAATGACAAATATTTAAATAAAAATAACTTGATCTTGATCTACCTATGTTACTTGCAATTGTTGTTCCTGAATCTTATTTCCCAGTATAGCATGGAATTCGGATAGTCTTGTGAAGTTTGACTTCAGTTCATGGTAACTCCGATTGTTCCTAATGCTCAAGGGTGGGCTTTGGAGAATTATTCATCCTGATTGTGGATAGAGTCTGCTTAGCATTTAAGTAAGGGCTTAGGTTTAAATAATTTAGCTATGTAAAAGGAGTGGGAAAGATTCACCTTCATAGTATTTCGTGTGAAAGGGCTTGTGGTGTTAGACGATGGGAAGGTCAGTGTAAGCGTTAGGATGCACTCATAGTCGTGCACAGCCCAGAGGAAGTGTCTTTATTCATGGATGCTGTATTTGAGGGGGAAATGGATCCATTTTACCATACCTAGAGCATGATGACCAACATGGGGAAGGATCTGGGAAGAGGATGAAGGCAGAATTCTTGTCCAGGAGGGTCTCATAGTCTAGGTGGGGGACAGGAGTATAAAGGAAGGAGCCGGGGATGCTTGGTCTGAAAAAAGAGAAAACTTCATAGTGAATATGATTGCTGTTTTCAGATATTTGAAGGATGAACAGGCTTTTCTGGGAGCCAAGACAGGTCATTGGAACAGCACATTTCGCTGAGGTCCAAGGCTAAGGGGCAAAATGCTGCTCTCAAAATCTAGATGGTGATTTTATCACTTACAGAGCTACCCGCACCCCAAAATCCCGAGAAGAGCCTGAAGCACTAGAGGCCTGAAGAAAGTGGCTGGCCAGAGCTCCCTAGACACTTGCTTGTGGTCACTTACAGTCACTTCCAGCGCCCCTCCTCTCCCTGCCAGCACCACAGGCTCTTACTCACTGCTCATAGCATCAAACTTCTACTTCCCTCACCCTGACCTTCTGGCCAGAAAGGAAAGCAACAGCTGGTGTACTCTGCTACAGTGCTTCTTAACCCTTGATGTGCACATGAATCATCTGGGGGTCTTATTAACATGCAGATTCTGGGGGCCGGCCCCGTGGCCTAGCGGTTAAGTGCGTGGGCTCCGCTGCTGGCGGCCCGGGTTTGGATCCTGGGTATGCACCGACGCACCGCTTGTCAGGCCATGCTGTGGTGGCGTCCCATACAAAGTGGAGGAAGATGGGCATGGATGTTAGCCCACAGCCAGTCTTGTCTCAGCAAAAACAATAAGAGGAGGGTTGGCATGGATGTTAGCTCAGGGTTGAGCTTCCTCACACACACACACACAAAAGATGCAGAGTCTGATTCAAGTATGTCTTGGTTGGGGCCCCATAATCTGAATTTGCACAGGCGATGCTGCTGCTGGTCTGTGGACCGTACTTTGAAGAACAGGGCTCTACTACAAATCGTGAGTCTTCCTGCCAGGCTACAGCCAAATGCCTTCAGGCCAAACGACCACCTCCTCCAGGTTGCTCTCAGGACTGAGCCTCCCATCTCTGTTAGCAGAAGGTTACTGCCTCAAAATACTGCCTCATTCTCCTCTTGGCACTCGTGAAACAGTTGTATCCAGATATCACTTAGCCGTCCAGCGTCTTTGTCATCCCTAGGGCCACTTCAGCACTTATCTAACATTTAAAAAAAAATACATCATCTTGACTTTTACCCCAGTGGTTTGAGATACAGGACTTTTAAATATGTGCATGATGCTGTCAGAGACTTTACCCTAAGACACAAGTATCTACTCTGCCCTATTGAGAACGACAGGGCAGATTTCTTTTCTCGTAGCTGCATATTTGTGATTACCCCAAGGTAACCACTTACTCCAATGCCTTGTGAAGTGTTCTTTAAAAGAGCTGCCTATAATACATTGAGCACTTGCTCAATGGGGCCATAACCCCAGGAATAATGACTAAATCTGGTCAAATATATCTGCCTCCCTTTTTTTTAATGATTCCATCAAGTGATCTCTATGAGCATTTCTAATTGTCATTGATTGAAGTCCTTTCAAGGTCATTCCCCTTTCTCCAGCAGTAGTATATTGTTAAAATAAAGTAATCGAGAGATTTTCCCAATGTGTTAATCTTGGTAAGGTCTCAAATATCAGATCATGCTGCTTTTCTATACAGGAGCTGTATGGTCTTGGGCAAGGTATTTAATGTCTTGGATCATATGTGAACTCATCTATGAAAATAGATATGATAATGTCTCCTTTGAAGAAATTAGATGAGATGATGTTTGTGAAAGCACTTGGCCCATTCCCGACACATGGCGATCAGTCAGGAGATAACAGTTCCCCTTGCCTCTCATTTGTTTCTCTTAGGCCAGTTTTTAGCTTTTTAGGGGGGAGGGGGACATATTTTATTTCCTTTTTCCACTAGTCTCCAAGCTTCTTGAGAACAGGATCTACATTTTAAATTTTAGCCCTTCACTATATGTTCAGTAATGACACATTGAGTGAATGAATGAACAGATAATCTCTAAGGTGGTCTTGACCTTTCAAGTTCCTTGATTGTTTGAGTCTTCCAATGTTCTAGCTGCTTAGAAGAAATTTGGAGAGTTCTCTTAAAATGAATGTCTTCTATGTTAAGGGATTTCCTCCTTTGCAGTCTTATATGTATTATATTTATTATTACTAATAAGCATGTACCTGGGCCCAGGAGCCCGCCGTGATAGTATAAGTACCCTCTTCAGTTTATGCCCGATTCTTTGTCTAGTGCAAATGAGGTGGGTTGAGGCTGGTCCTGACTCTGCTTCCCCTGCCCGGCTCTCTTGGGAAGATCCTGTGAAAGATGAGCAAGAAGTACGCATTTGTTCTCTGACTTGAGATTTGGGAGTCAGGCATAATAGAGGCTGTTTCTTGATGTATTCATTTCAGTCCTCCTGGAAGATGCTTTTTGTGTTTTAGATTAAAGACGATCTGGCTAGTGGGGTCAGGAGAGCAGATTAGAGGAGAAGCAGTAGATCTTTCTACATCTGGGGACTGAATCTGGTTTCCTGTTTAAGCGAGTAGTTCTAGAGTTGTCTGTATGAATGAGTTGCTGGGAGATAGTGCCAGCCGAGGCCATCTTTATGACTTTGTCATCGTGTCTCTGAGATAAGCAGCAAACTGGTGGAAAGTGCAGAGGCTGTCAAATGTAGACCTGAGTTTAAGTCCTGGCTTGGGTATGTTAAATTCCAGAATCTTTGCCTTTTAACTTTTAAAAAGGTATAATAATATCAGTCTTGTAGGTTTTTCTGGGTGATAAATTAGATAGTATGTGTTAAATGCCTAGTGCAATGGCTGGCAGTGAGATTAGGCCCGATTTTGACAATGACAATGATGACACATTTCAGAAGAGAGGCATAGAGGACTAACTAGGTCATCCACACATGAAAGTATCAGCCCTGAGCTGTCTGAGGAATGCGTGTCTGAGGAATGTCCCAGAGCTGCCTGCTACGTTTTATGACTAAAGTGCACACTGCAGTTGTGGTGCTAAGAGTTTTTCATGGATCTGGAAAACGTGATAACAATCTGGGGAAAGGAAAAACTCAATTGCATGTTTCATCCCATGATAATTTGGAATACTGGTCCATATAGGAGTAGCTTTCAACCTTTCCTCTTCTGGGCGTTATCTAGGAATTGTTGTCTGCTTATAGCTTTTTGTCCAGGAGGAAGAAAAAAAAAAGTCTTACTAATCTCTTCACTCTGACAATTATTTCAATGCCTGATATCCAACATGGCTTCTATTTTCCTTTAATTCTTGAAAAAGTAAAAATGACAGTAATAAAAATAAACATCAATAAGTTCATTCCACGTGAATGGCCTTTTTTAGACAGTCGAAAGAGGGTTCTGAACTGGACTTTTAAGTATTTAAGAGACGCTGCAGCAAGCTTTGCTAATTGGCTGTGGCCTGTCACCTCACAGTGGATCAGTCAGTCTCCATGTCAGAGGCTTCAGGTGTCTCCATGAGGGTTCACAGACAATAGGTGAGTTGGATTCCAGATGGTACAATTGATTTTGGGTTGTAGCTCTTTGTGTCATGTTTAGCTAATTTTAGATTCTGAATCTGGTAGTAAGGTAGTAGGTAGTGAGGACTGATTTCTATAAAATTCAGAAGTAAAATAAAACACATTTTTGTTACTTTACATACAGCTATTTTGAATTGGAGAGCAGTGGTCTGAGGGATGAGATTCGATATCACTATATACATAACGGGAAGCCCAGGACAGAGGCGCTTCCCTACCGGATGGCAGACGGACGGTGGCACAAGGTCGCGCTGTCAGTTAGTGCCTCTCATCTCCTGCTCCACGTCGACTGCAACAGGTATGTCTTTGCCTTTGCTCTTTCCTGATTCTGCCCTTGAAATCAAGCAATGGGAAGGGGGTAAAATCAACCTCCTCTAAGCCTTGCTTGGAAACAAAAACCAAGGGACCCTAATTGTAATTGAACCTACCAAGTGGGCCATTAGGCGTGCTGAAATGACCAACTGTAATTCACTAAGAAAACAGCGCATTAAGATGAAACAGTATCCTGTGATTAGTAACAAATGTACAAAAGGTTGATTACAGATTGGGGAATATTAAGTGCCCCTTGGTGTATTCCAGGTGCCAGCTGAAATTCCGTGGAGCTGTGATCACGGTTAACTGTGATATATTGCTGTTGAGTTCATTCCACTTGGAGGCAACTAAGCCGGTCTACCTTGGAATGAATCTGAGAAGTCTGTGCTACTGAAGCGGCTAATTCTATTTCACTTCATCAAGCACAGCTTTGCTTAAATATCTTTTCCAAATGGAGGCTTCTTAAAGAGGCTGTTCATTGAATCTTTTGGAATAGATGCCATCCATTCTCTGCAGAGGAATGAGCCTTCCAGCTTGTCAGAGGATGGTGGGACAATTTGTGAGATCTGGGGAGTTTTACAGGAGGTTGTGGGTTGGGGTGGGAAGGCTTTGTCTGTCCCCTACATCTGTCACGGGAGTCAGATTTACTGCCAGCTGGAGAAAGGGAGGCTATTGGTCTCTATTGGATCATTTGTGGCTGGACAGCTGGATAATGATGGTCAAGGGGAATGTTTTGATCTCCCCAGAACCCACTGAAAATCCTTATGGATAGTGATCTGAGTCTTATGATAGAGAATTTTTTTGCGGTGCAAGCAATGCCCATGAATTGTTGGTTCTCATTAATGATACCATCTAAGTTAAAATGGGTGTTCAGCCACAGGACTTGCTCCCTGGGGCCCAGGATAAAGAACAGGCATGTTGGGGACAGCCTCCTTTCCAGAACCCAACAGGAAGAGGGATAATCCAAGGTCAGTCAGCTCCAGACTGCAGGTCTGAGGAGGAGACACTTGCATATGCTTGCCACTCCAGCTCTGCAGTCTCTTTCGGAAGGGCAGAGAACAGAAACTAGTGTCAGGCTTAAGGGAAGTTCCGCCATCCTGAAGCGAGTCTTGGTCCGTTTTGATGGTATCTATTTAAGGTGCTTTCTGGACTTCTGAAGAATTGTGGCTTCAGTCAGATATAATTTGTGTTCCTGGACAAAGTTTCCGTAGAAACCACTGGCTCCTGTTTATCCTGTAGTCCTGGGCTGGGCAGCCTGGATAAAGCTAGCTCTCAGCCACTCTCTCCTTTTCCACCGTCAGGAGCTCATTGGCCCGTTTAATTATCTAGAATTAAAGTGGTCTGTCAGGTAGCACTCTTGCTGCCCCCTACCCACTGCTCCGTGTAGTTCTTATACTGCCCAAATAGGAGAGCAGGGGAAGGGCCCTGCATGTCCTCCTCTGCCCCGGGGCCAGAAAGAGGCCTCAAAACCCTGGGTTAGGAATTCCCAACTGAAAAGTCCTGGAGACACGGCGGTTTTCTTACTATGCAATTGTTTGCTTCCTCCTTCCAAATCTTTTATCTTCTATTTTCAATATTCTTCTCTCTGGAGAAGAGGAAAAAGAGGATATGTTTCTGCTAATCTAAGGTTTCATGCCTTCACAAATTCTCTGGTGCCTATGAAATAGTCTCTTCTGCCATCCTTGGCCACTTGTTAGCTGTGTGAATTTGGGCAAGTTCACTTCTTTGCATCTCAGTTTTTTAATTTGTAAACTGGGAATAATAATACTAACACATACTCAGAGATGGGAATGTTAAATGAGACAATCCACGTAAGGTGCTCAGAGTAGTACTTGGCTTTGGCACTCAATACGTGTTTGTTGTTATTGTTATTATTATTATTTATTCTGCACATCTAATTTGTCTCTTTGACTCAGACTCCAAACTTTCACCCACTGTATGTCCTTGGCTACCACGGCCTCTCTACCAGGAAAGTGGGGACAGGATGGGAGAGCTGGAGCCCCCAATATTCTTCAGAGTCAGACCCATTTATAAAGAATGGACTGAGGGGATTCTAAATATTCCTTCCCTTCTCCTGAAATTTTTCATACTTAGGCTCATGGTATAACATGTTGTCCTTTATGTGAGATCTTGGAGGGAAAACCAAGTTGTTGTCAGTTAATGATTCATAGACCCAAACACAAATGAGCTTTTTAGGAGAGAAAGGCCTGGGTCATGAGAGAGAAATTTTGATTTTGGTGAAGGAAGAGTCTAGAAAGATAGTTCCCAAACCTGACTAGACATAGGAATTACTGGGGATATTATAAAAAAAAAATATGAGTGACTAGGTCCCATCTCTGACCCACTGGATCAGAATCCCTGAGGGTGCGACTTGAGAAGCTGTATTAACGAGCTCTCCATGTAGTTCTTATGCCGGCTGTCTAGCCTTGGTGTGTGGACTGTCATTTCAAAACCACCCATTTAGACAGAGGGGGAGGAAGCTAGAGGAGAGGCTGGGAGGCAACAAATAAATGAGAGACTCTGGAAAACTAGTGCCTGAAGCAGAGCCCCAGTGAGGAGGAGGGAAAGATTAGGAAGAGGGTAGTGTCTGGTGCATCTTCTTCGTAAGCGTCTTCCTAGCCAGCACTAGCTGATTCTAGAGTGGCAGAAGCACTGCCCATTTATCAAGGTGCTGGGCTACCGCTTATCTAGGCCACCTTCCCAGTGGGTGAATTTCACAGGCTGATTTGTAGTCTCTAAGCCATGTATTTCAAACCACCATGAGATTCTTACTTTTTGGTTCCTTTTATTCTCAGAATTATACTGTTTTATTTCTCTCAGCCTGTCACTCACTAGAGTTCTGCTGGTTGGAAATAAGTGGTGATATGATAACTTGCATTGAGTGGTGACTGTGCAGGCACAGTGCTAAGCCGTTTACGTAGATTAGCTCATCCCACACTCATGTGGTTATCTTTCTTGTTTTAAAATGATGGAACAGAGGTTACATTGTCTGTAATCCTGCTGCTAATAAGTGACAGTGCTAGAATTTGGACTTGAGTCTGACTCATGAGGGTCTGCTCTGACTGCCAGGCTATGCAAGCCAACAGTGGGGACCATTGGCACTGAATCTGGAACATGAGGGAAGGTAAGAGCCTGATTCAATGAGAGCAGTTTGCTCCTTTCTATTACTTTCCTCCCACATATCTTATGTTGCTAATCTTTGGAGTTGTTTGGTAAGATATGGAATCTTATTAACAAAACCCATTGCATTGGCATGGGGGAAAGGACTTACCTTTATTGAGCATCTACTACAGGCCAGGTAATGTGCTAGGCATAGTATTCCTTAGCATAGCCAAATGGGGACAATTTTTAGACCCATTTTACAGATTTGGAATTAGAAGGGCTCAGAGAAGATAAGCGACTCGGTCTCAGTCACATAATGTAAGAAGCATAGAGTCCAAACTTTGAACCAGATCTAACTCCCAAACCTTTGCCCCCACCATTGCCACAGCGCCTCTGTAATTCATGGACTTCCCAGGACAAAGTCACCAGCACAGCAGGGAGTCATCCAGGGGAGAGACGCTGCAGAAGTTTCAGGGCCCATAAAAACATGAAATCAGAAAGGGAGGATGTCCCAGGCAAGTCCACTGCTCTGAGGCTGTAGTGTGGCAGGCTCTTCCGCTGTTTTTAGGTTAGAATTGGGAAACGGAGCCTTTTCAGACCGAATTACACAAATTGTCACAAGAACAGCGACTGCTCTTTTGGTCGGTAGTTAACACCTTCTGCTTGCTGCCGAGACTTGCACTTTTCTCTCGGCTTCAACTGTTCAGCGGGGCCTAGTTAGAAGCTCCCAAACTGTGGGCAGATGACCTCAAGCTAGAAACATAAAAGGAGCCATTCCGTTGAGCGGCCAGCCTGATTCTCTCCATTGCCTTGGGTTTTTCTCTAGCTGCCTTTATATTAACAGTTTCTAACAAAGCCTAGAAGGAGGCCTGAACTAACCCTCCTCAGATTCTCCAGCTCCGTTCTCAGCTCACTCTGTGGCCTGTCCCCATTACTCAAAGCCCAGGATCCACTGACCACTGGGACTCAGTGCGTACGTGTTCTTTCTCATTCACCACGACAAGGGTTTTCTTTCCTTCTTTTTGTCTGGTAACTTTTAATTTTCAATCAACCCATCAAATTAATGTATTGGACACACTGTCTATGCCAGGCTGTGGAGGACACAAAGAAATAAGGGAGTCTTTGCATCAGGAAGTTCATGGCTTATTCATTTGGTCATTTTTAATTCTGAATCCACCAGGCCCCCCACAGTGGTTGGCCCTGGTCCTTGGGTATCAGAGAAAGCGTGGACTCGGACGGAAGCCCTGTGAGCAGGCTGATTTGACAAGTCATAATAGCAGCTGAGCAGTGGACAGAGCTGCAGATAGTCACTCCCAGCATCTTGGTCTTGAAGTGGCAGTGAAGCTGAGCTTCCAACAGCTAAAGGATGGACTCAAAGTGTTTTCCATTCAAATGGTACCTGCATCCAGCCTTCGGCTGCACTTTTTGCAATATGCAGGTGTCCCCACTCTATGCCAACGTCCTCTTGCTTCACTTCTGGAAAAATGTCTCTCTTACAAAATCATGTTGCTACAGGGCTCTGAACTCTCACCTCATTTGTTCAGATCTGTACAAGTGTGCACAGCACACACACACACACCTGTGGCCCAGTTGTCACTCTGACAGGGAGTTAACTCAGTGATTATAGTCTAGACAGTAAACATATTTAGATTTTACTTCTAACACATACTATTTATTCACTGTAGAGCTCATTCAATTTTTGCATATAACTGATCTTGAAAAGCATGCAGAATCAGAAAAGTAAACTTACTATAAATCACTGAACAAGTCAGTAATTTCAAAGTTTTGGTCTAATATTTCAGAGTAACTCCAGGATATAAGCATCTGTTTATATCTCTAGGTTTTTCATAATGAAATATGGTGATATGGCATCTTCCTTCCAGA